CAGCATTATTTATAATAACCAAGATATGGAAACAACTTAAGTGTCCACTGATGAGTGAATGAAGATGTGCCATATATACACAATGGAATATTATTCAGCTATAAAAAAAGAATGAAATCTGGCCATCTGCAACAACATGGATGGACTTTGAGGGCATTATGCTAAATGAAACAAGTCAGACAGAGAAAGACAAATACCGTATGTTCTCACTTACACACAGAATCTAAAAACAAAAACAAAAACAATCCAAAACCAAGTTCTTAGATATAGAGAACAGACTGGTAGCTGCCAGAGGTGGGTGAAATGGATGAAGGGGTCAAAAGGCACAAACTTCCAGTTATAAGATAAATAAGTCTGGAGATGGAAAGTATAGCATGGCGCCTATAGTTAATACTACTATAATGAAAGTTGCTAAGTGACTAGATCTTAAGAGTTCTCATCACAAGAAAAAAATTCCGTAACTATGTACAGTGATGGGTGTTAACCAGATGCTGTGGTGATCATTTCACAATATATAAAATTTCAAGTCATTACAATGCATACCCAAGACTAATATAAATGTTGTATGTCAATCATACCTCGATAAAAAAAACAATTGCTGGGGAGGCTCACAGGACTCAGGAACCAGTTTACTCACTAGATTACTGGTTTATTACAAGGATACATGTCAAAAGCCCGACAGATACACAGGGCAAGGTCCCAGACCCAGGAGCTTCTGTTCTCATGGAGTTCGGGGCCTGGTCAGTGACACATGGAAGCGCCCTGGTTCACCAACCTGGAAACTCCCAAACCCCATACTATTGGGATTCTTATGGAGGCGTTCTCACGTAGGCATGATCGATTGCTAACTCTCTTCTCAACCCCTCTCCCCTCTCTGGAGAATGGGAGGCAGGGAGCTGAAAATTCCAAGCTTCCAATTATGGCTTGTTTTTCTGGTGACTAGCCCACTTGGAGTCACCTCATTAGAACAAAAGCTATTCCTTGTGCTCTTATGGCTTAGAAATTTACCAGGGTTTTACGAGCTCTGCTCTGTGTCAGGCACCCAGAGGCAGAGACCAATACATGTATTCCTTGTTATTTCACACAAGGAAACAAAATGTCCAAAATTTGATTCACAATCTTCCTCCTCTTCATACATTCCTAAGACAGCTAACAGCTTTGTTATACACTGAGTCATCCAATCCAGGAACTGGGGAGTCATTCTTAATTTTTTCCTTCTCTCTCAGTTGTCCCACTCAGCCCAAATGTTCACCAAATTCGTTCCATTCTAATTGCTGAGTGTCTCTTAACGCTTCCTCCCCGCTCGCTGTCCTTGCTCGAGCCGTGGTGACTCGCCCTGCACCTGCAGGGGGTACAGCAGCCGCCACGTCCTTCCAGCCCTCACCTCACCCCCTTCCCAGGGCAGCCTCCACGATGCTGCCGCAGCCGGTTTTCCAACACTCCAATCTGATTTTCCCAAGCTCCAGCTCTTTTCATGGCCTCCGAGTGTCTAAGGAAAAAGTGTCCCGTTCTAAGCCTGCTGCATGAGGCCCGTCAGTGACAGCGTCCTGACCACCTGCCTTCCTCCCTCACCAGCCCCACATCTCCCTTCACTTTGGCTCAACTACACAGTCCCCTGAGCTTGCCACGGGCTTCTCACTTCTCATCACCCTTGTCTATGTGCTGTCCTCCGCCTGAAGCAGGGTTAACTTGGAGCCTGTGCACTGGATGGGAACAAAACTACATTCTTATTTTCATTAACTTTTTTTTTTAAAGATTTATTCATTTTTGAGAGAGAGCATGTACGAGTTGAGGGGGAGGGGCAGAGCGAGAGGGAGAGAGAGAGACTTTGCTGAGTGTGGAGTCTGACATGGGGCTCAATCCCACGACCCTGAGATCACAACCTGAGCTGAAACCAAGAGCTGGATGCTTAGCTGACTGAGCCACCCAGGTGCCCCTTTACTTTCATTAAGTTCTATCTGAAACTTCAGCATTCCTTCAATTATGATAGTAGGAAGCAAACCATGGTGGTATTAGCATTACCTGTAACTTTTTCACCAGAAGAAACCACAGACTTTTCATAGCATATCAACCATTGTTGCAGACACTGCAAAGTATCATTTACACTCAGTCTGAAATTATGAGTTACTGGATCACTGCTAGATCTGTTATTTAATGTGTTAAATAATAATGAAGCACATGCTAGTATATTTCTGATAACAAAACCAGATTTCAGTATTATTGGTTTCATTTGTAAGTCTATGTATTCGAATGTATGCATTTAAAAACACTATTGTGTGGGCGCCTGGGTGGCTCAGATGGTTAAGCGTCTGCCTTCGGCTCAGGTCATGATCCCAGGGTCCTGGGATCGAGTCCCGCATCGGGCTCCCTGCTCCTTGGGAGCCCGCTTCTCCCTCTGCTTCTCTCTCTCTCTCTCTCTCTCTCCCTCTGTCTCTCTCCCTCTGTCTCTCATGAATAAATAAATAAAATCTTTAAAAAAAAAACAAAAAACAAAACAAAAAAACCCCACTATTGTGAGGAAAGACCCCCAAGCTTCTCTAGCATGCCAAGAGTCTACAGTACAAAAAAGGTTAAGAGTCTCAACACCTAGGACGTTCTTTCCCACTGTACCTCCCTGGGGGATTGCTATTCTCCCTTTAAGACCTGTATGAAACACCACCTTCACCAAGGAACCAACACCTTGACCAGCGCATCTCCCCTTTCCATCCACACTGTCACAGACCCTCTGTACATGTCTGGTTTCCCCATCAGACAAAGCTCCTCGAAGGCAGGGAGGTGTCTTTCATTTCTGGATATTCAGCACCTAGTTCAGAGCCTACCACACAGAAGTGAAATAAAATTGTGTTGAAAGAATATAAGCAGATGAAATATGTGAGAGTCTGAAAATCCAGGTCTGAATCCTGGCTAAGAGGTAGTAGCTACGTGACTCAGGGAAGTCCTCGAACTCTTCTGAGCCTCTTTCTCAGTATAAAATGTGGGTAAATCTCCCTTACTGCACTGTTTTGTCAAGAGGATCAAAACAAGGTAACTGTGTGAAAGTGCTTTGTCAAGCTGCAAGGGTTACTCAGAATTCAGTTGTCATTATATCAAGTTATCTAAAAATACCAAGTTATCTAAGAACATATTTTTAAAAATTGTGCTAAGGTCAACTCATTATTTAAAGCCTACCTCCCGTGCAATCCCTCTATCTGCCTGAATGTTTGTGTACCCCCAAATTCAGATGTTGAACCCCTAATCCCAGTGTGGTGGTATCTGGAGGTGGGACTTTTGGGAGGAGCCCTCACACTGGGATTAGTGCCCTTCTAAGAAGAGACAGGAGTGACGATTCCTCTCTCATTTTCTCTGCCATGTGAGGACACAGCAAGACAGTGGCTGACTATACACCAGGACGAGGGTCCTCACCAGAACCCAAGCGTGCTGGCACCCTGATTCAGACTTCCCACCTCCAGAATTGTGAGGAATAAATCTCTACTGTTCAAGCCACATTGTCCATGATTGTCTTGTGACGGCAGCCCCCACTAAGACACTGTCCTGCGCTGCAGGCTGTATCCAGGAGCTCATTCCCCAAAGGTACCAATCCTGTGTACTTTCAGGTCTTTAGGCCCTCGTTCTCATTATGACTTCCTGTTATTGTGCGTCATGCCCTTTCCTCTTTGCTGCCTGGGTAGCTCTTATTGATTCTTCAATAATCAGTCTAGTTGCTAAAAACCTCCTCTACAAACTTTTGCCTGGCCTCTCCGTCCCCCACACCTGGCACCATGTACGAGACTTAACCTTCTGTGAGTCTCCAGAGAGCTGAGACTCTGGCCTATTCTTCCTGACCTCCTCTCATCCATCAGGAATTCATGTCTGCCTGAGCATAAAATTGGACAAGCAAAAGTGATTAGAAAACATATGAAAACAAATCAGTAACACCGTCCGCTTTGGATTATTTGTTAAGAACAGCCTTAGCCTTAGCCTTAGCCTTGTAGGTTTAAATTCTGAAAGATGACTCTGTCACAAGTCCTTTAAATATTCAATTTCACCTCATTTCAAATATAAATCCATTCATTCTGGCAAAGCAAGGTGAAATCCATCTGGCAATGTCTGTTTCAACAGTCATATTGTAAAGCAGAGCACTGTGTCATTGAGAATGTCACCACAATGAGGCTGAGACAAGAGACCCCGGCCTCTCTGACTTCTTCCCATTCTCACTGTGCCCATGAGGAGAACAGGAGTAAGAATTTTAGCTCGAATGCCTTACTCAGAGCGAGAGAACAGAGCACCGAGGGCAGAGGGACCAGGGTCAAGTCCATGCACAGTGGGTTACAGGCTGACCCTTGTATGGTAGAAGGACAGTGGTGACCTTCCAGGCCCAAACCCAACCCTCCAAGGGCATTTCTAATCCTCCTTCAGAGCTGCCTTACAGTTCCCTCAATTCTAAGGAAACAGTTCCCAAGAAAGTACACGTATATGAAAAAACCACCAAGTCAATGATATACATACAATAACGGATTTAGGCCAAAATCTGAGTTTAGATCAGGCAGCAGGAGAGGTGCCTGGGTGGCTCAGTCGGTTAAGCGGCTGCCTTCGGCTCAGGTCATGTTCCCAAGGTCCTGGGATCGAGTCCCGCCATAAGGCTCCCTGCTCAGCGGGGAGCCTGCTTCTGCCCCTTCCCCCTGCTCATGCTCGCTCTCTCTCTTAAATAAATAAAACCTTAAAAAAAAAAAAAAAAGATCAGGCAGAAGCAAGTAAAGTTATTTATTACCTACTTACACTATCAGTAAATGACCTCACTTCCTAACTTCACAGATACAACCAAGCACGTTAGGGAAAATTTTCACTTTCCGGCCACCTACTGTTAGATCCATTTCCCCCAAGAGCCTGAAAACAAGCGGCCCAATTTACTTTTGTAGTCCCTTGAGTTCTTCAATTCTCAAAAGTCACAAACCAGCTTGCTCAATGATGTCCCACTTAACTTATTAACTATTCCCCTATTTAAGTGTCCTCTATAATCTTACCTACGGTTAGGAAGGTGCTCAAGAGCTGCTCCGTGGCAACGGGCTTGATCTCTGTCCGTAGATTAACATATCTGCCAACCACCAAGGGGGCTCGGCGGAAACCCAGAATCCTGGTTTGGGAGGTCGAAGAACAGAAGAGAAAAATCTTTGGGGGGTGTATTTTATAAAGTAGTCTTAGAAAAGATATTGCTGATTGGTAGGTATATATATGTATATTTATACTTACACGTATTTTAAAGATTTTTTTTTTTTTAAAGTAATCTCTACCCGCAATGTGGGGCTTGAACTCACGTCCCTGAGATCAAGAGTCCCATGCTCTACTGACTGAGCCAGCCCGGCACCCCTGCAGGTAAATATATTTTAAAGGTACATATATTTATGAGTTTAGTATCAAGATGTATGTAATGTATTTTAATATGCACTTCAGCAAAAAGGATAAGGCAAATCTAGCAAAATGTGAGCAACTGCTAAATCTGGGGAATGGGTATATGGATTCATTAAACTATTCTAATTTGTTAGAAATTTTTCATAGTAAAAGTTTTAAATAAATTTTAACAAAGCATCAAAAAAAAATGGGATTAAACCCATACAAAGGTTCAAAGCTTTGGATAAAAGCACACTGACAGAAAACTATATAGATTAATCTAAAAGGACAAGCCCATAGGACAACTAAATACAGATATATTGGAAGATACTTCTCTCTAATGGTCTGAAAATACAACCTTATGGTTGAGCAAAATCATTTTTTAAAAAATGAAATTTCCTGGCTAAAAAATACACACTCCCTGAAGAAAAGTTGGAGGGGCAGGATTTGGAACATACAGAAAAGTTATGATGAAGAAAATAAAGATCATCCATAATTCCACAGCCCAGAAATAACTACTGACATTTTGGCATATGAGCATTTTTTCCTTTACTCATATATATATAAACACATACACACTCTTGTGTATAAACACACAATTAAGATTATATTATGCGCAGTTTTGTATCCTGCTTTTCACTCATCATTATGAGCCTTTTCTCATGTCATGATAAAACCTTTCGAAACAGCTGCACAAAGAAATAATCCATTATTCAGGGCTCCTGACTGTCTTACACTCAATCTTTGAAAAGCCACAAAAGCAAGTAGATCAACAGATGGGTCAAAATAACAGAAAAATCGAGAGAACCTCCCGAGGCCAGAGAAGGTGGTTAAATCCTAATGTAATGGAGAAATAGCAACCCAGAGCAGAAAAGGATCAGGAGCCGTGGATGGCAAAGAGAGTGGGGAAGTCCTTTTTCTCCCCCACTGACCATGCCAGGCCAATGACCAGCAGCCAGTGGAGTGCTGAGGGGCCATGTCACTTGAGCTCGGCTGGGGTAGCAGTTAACAAAACAGGTAGGGGCCCTGGCCAGAGAACTTTCCGACCTTGAGGTAGGGAAGGACTTTTAAATGCAAGACCCCCCCAGAGCACAAGTCATGAACTAAAACATTAGTATATTTAATTAACATCAAAGGGAGTGATTTCTGTACAAAGACTATTTCACTCTAAGTTAACGAATAGCTGTTATGCTATGAAAAGATAAGATGTTAAATTTTGCTAACAATAATAACTAGGGAAAAACAAATAACTAACAATGAGGTACCATTTTACATAGATTAACACAAATTTGTGTGTTGGATGAAATATTGGTTTATGAAATATTGGTACAGATAGGGGAAAATGATCTTCACGCATTGCTGGTGTCCGTCAGTTGGGAAATAGGGTTTGGGAATGAAGACAACAGGGAAACAAATGAGCTCTTGGAAAGACTGATTCTAGCATGCCTTTAAGTGAGGAGCAGGATTTACCTAATTCTCTACCACTAGGTCCTAAAAGAGGCAGTGAAAATTCATGGTATTGTGAACAAACATTTATTTAACCTTTTCCATTATCACTCGATATTTAGACGGCTACTAGTTTTTCACTACTGAAAACTCTACAGCTAAGATCCTGGATATATGTAACTCTGGATTTCATTACTTCTCCAGGGTACTTCCTAGAAATACCTTCCTAGAAATATCTTAGATATTTGAGTAAAAAGGTAGTTACTCATCCAAAGGGTAGGAGCATTCAGGTTTCCAATACATAATGCCAGAGTTCTTCAAAAGATTGAACTGATTAACAATGCCACAATCTCAATGCATTCCTGCCAATAAAATACTACTTTTTTTTTTTAAATCCTGGCCATTTTCAGCAGAAGAAAATAGTATCCCATTGTTTCAACTGGATTTGTTCTTATTACTGGTGAGGATGAACCACCCCCTGCCCTCCATATTTATCAGCAATTGATAATTTCTATTCAGTCAATTGTGTCCTTAGATCATTTTCTATTAAAGTTTTAGCATATATATAGATTTGTATAAACATTTATATATTAAGGTTGTTAATCCTTGGATTACATTAGATTCAAGTATTTTCTCCTAGTTTGCTTTCAAACTTCATTTGATGTTTCCTGACACAGGAGTTAATTGTATTTAGCTGAGTCTACTGAATAGCTTTTCCTTTGCAATTTTTCAATTATTGCTTTTATGCCTACAAAATCCTTCCTAATCCAGAAAATGACAAAAATTCACCTTTATTTTCTTCTGGTTTTTATATATCCATTTAACAAATATTGTGAATATTTCTTTTAAAGTCTGTCAATATGCCCTGATGGAGATGTTGCTCAGACGGGCAAGTGGGCTACCAGACGTTCCTGTTACCAGGCTCCCGGCTAGCCCAGCCCCGTGGTGAAAAAATATTAATCTTCCTAGTTAGCTTACACATTTCGAATTTATATCCATTTTTCTTTTGGAATTATTCCGGTTACCGAAGCCAAGCGTATTTTGTATGAAGGACAATAAAATTCATTATATATGTCATGCTGTATGCTTCTAGCATATGGGGATAAGTGAATATTACTTACTTAACACAAAAATAAAGCAAAACAAACAAACAAACAAAACAGTACTCTCAGGCCCAATTAATGATCAATTCAATTTAGGGACTTGAGTTCCAACTCTGGTTTTCATCCTGCCATTTTATTTACCAAGAATATCTTCACTCATGGTGGCAAAGGGCATACCAGAATGAAATGATCTTAAAAAGTTTAAAGTGAAGATATTTACTCTGGCATTCCAAGAAACCACCCAGATCGCTAAGGACTCATGCAAATTTAGTGGGATCCGTCCATCAGCTATCTCACGTAGATACCAAGTCAAAGTTATGAGTGTTGCTCCCTTTCGAAGGAGTCCACAAGTCCTCTCCAAGAGGTTTTTAAAAAAGGAAACAAAGCAAACGTAACCCTCCGTGGTGACACATACCTGTCCAAATGAAAGGCTGCTACCTCTGCATTGTGTCTATCATAACCAGCATAGGGCTCCCCTTCTACCACATAGTCTCGGTTATACCTGCAGAGTGAATGGGAAGCACAGATGTAGACGTGAGTTACATCGGCACGGCATGAGACAGCACAACAGAACGTTATTTAGCAAGCCTGACTCTGCCCTACGGACGCCTTCCCTGTCAAACCTGAGCAGAGGTGTGGATTCGGACGAATCACTGGTAAAGGGGGTGGAGATGAAGTGGAGAAGGGAAACTAGATTTCTCTATCTGCTGCAGCAGTCACTCTACGAATAAAACATGCAAGATGTTATTTCTACCCCTCTTTCCATGGAGTTTGAGTAAAACTCAAAGGTCATTTTCTGGAGGGCAAGGACTATCTCTGCATCTCTACCTACAGCTCGTGCTTAATAAATGTTTGCTAACGTTTTTATTAGACTGAACTGAAGAAATGAAGGGAAACATACAATTAAAATGTTTGTGTTACCAGAATGGCTACGGCAAGGCTTATAAGAGAAGTTTAAATTTCTTGGAAATAAACGGTCTTGATATGCCTCAGTGTTCGTTTAATGAGTAAGCAAAGGTGCATTTGAAAAAAGCTGTTTGAATAACCATCCTTTTTTTCTCTGTTTACATTTATGATGATGTAGCGGCAGGAATACTGGACTGGCATGAGAGCCAGGTGTATAGTTCTGTCATTACCTGTCTGGGTAACCTTGAGCAAAACTGTTCTCTTCTCTGGGTCTTAGATTCTACATCTATAACATACTAGACTAGGGGGCAATTTCCAAGATCTCTTTCATCTCAAACTCCACTCTGATGATTTTTCCATCACATGCATGACATAAACAAAAGATAATAAAAGCTGGCATATTTCTTTCTACCAGTCATAAAGACAGATACCATTTAATGGTTAATCGGGAAGAAAGAGATACTAAATCCGTTTATGACCTCTACTGTTCGCCTGCATTTCCCCAAATCAAAAGACCTATTAGGCTTTACAGGCAAGTGTAAAATAGAAATGAACGGAAGCTGGAGGGAGGAGGAGCTGCTCCTCTGGGGACACCTGGATTGCAGGAGTGGGAGACGGTGCTATCAAAGGCTGTGAGCTTCCGTGTAAATGACCTTGGCGTCTAAAGTGAAACAAACCATGCCCACAAAACACGTTTTCAAGGCAAAGTGACGGAACACTTCTGAGAGAAGACAGCCGTGCGTCACCCCCTGGTTGGAGGCCAGTTTCTTCTTAGCATGGTCAGTATCCTCAAACATCGCTTGCTCATTCCTAGTGTCAAAGCATTAGTCAGGCTACCTAGGATTCCACTGGCTGCCTCCCCAATAAAGCCTCCATTTTTAAATAGAACTGCAGCAAAAGCGGACACTATATTCGAGCACGTCTCTCTCCACCACAGCTGCAGGCTGTCCGTAGAGCTGGGGGACAGTCCTGAACGCTTTCTCTGTCAGGGCTCCAGCGGAGCCACAGGGACATGTGTGCGCTGTGCGGTCCACTCCTTCCAGTGAAACGTTCGAGAGCTTTCCAATACCTCGAAAGGCGGCTCGGGGTGGAATGTTAAACCCTAGGGGAATCCAGGGATGTTGGGGGTGGCCTGGAGGGGAAGGGAGGGAAAGAAGAGGAAAGGAATAAGAATCAAAGCGCTGCGGCACAGTCAGGAGATCTGACTCCCTGGCTCCCCGTGGGCTGTGTGAACTGTGGCGCGTCCCAACGCTGCGTCTCACCCGTCAAAGGAGCAGCTGGTCCGGCCGGCCCATCCCCAAGGTCCCTTCCCGCACATGCTAGGATCACTCCCTCACGTCTCCCCACTCCGAGGCCTACCCTGCCATCTTGTTGCCTTCCCACCATAACTGCAGGCTTTGCCTGTGAAAGCCCATCTACTTCCAGAAGGCCGACAGCTACACTGAGGAAAAAAAAAAAAAATCACTTTTCTAATGTAAGGCAAAACGTGCAAATAAAAGCATCACTGTCTTCCCATAAATTCCACCCACCACGCGCGTCTCCTGTCTCTGACAGGAGGACATGGCCATCCGGGCTCCGGAAGCGCGGGAACCACAAGTGGCTCGTAAAGAAGGGTGCACGCGCCGCCTCTCAGCAGAGAGTGATCCATCTTGTCACTGGCAGAGCAGCAAAATTCATACACTAACTGCCAATAAATCACTCCTACCCTTCTGCTGAAGGACATCGGCGTCTGACCAAGGACATTAATTTGCACTTAAACTAGGACTAAATAGCCTCGGAGGCCCCTAGGGTCAGAATAGCAACTTGCTGGGCGTCTCGGGGCCAGAGTCAATTTCTACAAGCACTGAGATGTGTACCCACCATCCGCAGCCTGCAACAGTGCCAGGTGTAACCAGCGCAGGTCGGCGTGGGCCGTGACCAAGGGCACGACCCCCCACGGCAGGGCCCTTGCAGCTGGTGGGTGGGGGGAGGACAGTTCCCTGGGGCTGGGAGTAATGTGGGCTGGGGGGGTGCGGGGACCAGTGGGGCAGGAATTGAGAGCAGGGTGTAGAGGGGAGGACCGGACTGCCAGGGGTGGACCGTGACGCTGTGGAGGCTGGGTTTTGTCCGGTGAGCAATGGGAGGTCCCTGAACGTTTTAAAGCTGGGAACACAGTGCTCACATGGGCATTTGGAGGGGGAATGAAAGGGGCCCTCAGCAGGGTGTGGGAGAGGGAGGTAAGGGGACGGCTGCGGTGGTGGGAAGAGACAGGAGATGAAGTGACAGTGACCAGGTTAGTTTGTGCGGTTCTCTGCTGCTGCCTCCCCCGGTCACCAGCCGGGCCTCCCCTCCCTCCACTTCTACCCGGTCTGAACACCCTGGGCCTACCTGCCAAGCGCCTGGACTAGCACGGACAGTGCGCACTACCCAGAGTACCTGCCTTCTCACGCCTCCTGCTGGCCCACCTTACGCCCAGTGCCCCCAGTACAGACGGTGCTTCTGCAGGGGACATCCTCTTCTTTAAACACAAAATGCCCACAGCTCATCTCTGTACACGAATTTCATTTTTGTTTTTAGTCTGCCTTCTTTCTGCTCACACTGCTACTCGCCCAGGCCACCAACCAAGACGTCAAAGACTACATTTCAAAACTAAGCTAGTGATTTTTGATGATGGGTGCTGCATGTCATCACACTCACAGGAAAGCAAACAAACTGAAGAGAACTACACATGTGTGGCAGAACACCAGCCGCTCAGACTCAGATCCCAATGCCACTTACGGCGGGATGACCCTGTCAAGTTAGTTATTCTCCCTCAGGCTCAGTTTCCTACTCTAGAAATAAGAGGTGTAACTGCCCACAGTTGTGATGGAGGCTGAAAGCATGGACAGAGACAAAAGTACTTAGTGTGGTGCCTGGTGAACGGTGTGCGTCCAGTGGAAAATATATCGCAAGGCCCACATAACCACACTTTTTCCACATCACCTGCCAATCAGACTTTTCTATTCTCCAAAAGCATACTGTATTTTTAACTCTCCTAATTTCCATATCTTCCATACATCACGCTTCCCAGTTCCAGGCAAATACAGACTTCCTCCCTTCCTGGGATCCCAATAGATTTGCTCTCCGGCTGTCTATTATCTAAGTGATGGTAGGGTTGTGAAGACGGCTAAGGTAACTACTTTTGTCACAGTTGAATTCTGTACATCTTTACCCCATATTTCTTATACCACCCCAGCAAGAGACTCAAAAGCTCTATTAAGGAATGAAAAAAACGTTCAGTACATAGAAAATTTCAGACATTACCGACTTTGAGAAAATTCACTGGTAACTAATTCCTAGCACAAGAATCTGAATCACCATCATGTTAACCTATTTCAAATTCATATACTCACAGAAAACTATTTAAAAATTGCCACACAAATTATCTCTGTAGAGCCTTAGAGAAGTCCCCAAGGGATCACTGTCTAACAACATACAACTCAGCTCACTTTCTCAGATTTTGGACTGAGGGAGCTAAAATGCTCAGTTCTCTCCTTAAACCAGGTAGAACAACAACAAGGCATCACTACACACATATCAGAATGGCTAAAATCCAAAACACTGACAACACAAAATGTTAGTGAGGACGTGGAATAACAGGAACTCTCGTTTCATTGCTGGTGGAAATGTAAAAAAGTACAGCTACTTTGGAAGACAGTTTGGCAGTTTCTTACAAAAGTAAACATACTCTTAGCATATGATCCAGCAATCATGCTCCTTGGTATTTAACCAAATGAGCTGAAGACTTCCATCTACAAAAAAAATACAAACATGAATGTTTGTAGTAGCTTTATTCATATTTGCCAAAATGTGGAAGCTTGGAACCAAGATGTCCTTCAGTAGGTAAATGGATAAACAAAATGTGGTACATCCAGACAATGCAATAGTGTTCAGTAATAAAAAGAAATGAGCATCAATCCACAAAAAGACGTGGAGGAAACTTAAATGCACATTGCTAAGTGTGAGAAGCCAATCCAAAAAGGCTACAAAGGTATGATTCCAATTATACAGCACTCTGCAGAAGGCCAAACTATGGAGACTGTAAAAAGATCAGTTGTTGCCAGGGGTTTGGTGGGGGGACAGAAGGATGAGTAAGTGGAACAAAGGGGATTTTTAGGGCAGGGAAGCTGTTCTGTAGGATACTGTAACGGCAGATACTTGTCATTATATGTTTATCCAAATCCACAGAAGGTACCACATAGAGTGTGAACCTTACTGCAAACAATGAACTTTAGTTAATAAATTAATACTGGCTCATCAACTGTAACAAATGTGCTACACTAATAGATGTTAATAATGGGGACACTGGGGGTAGGTGGGGAAGCTCTCTCTATACTTTCCTCTTGATTTTTCTGTAAACCTGTAACTGCTCCAAAAAATAAAGTTTATTAATTGAAACAAAACCCATGTGAAAGAATCATAGCTTCAGTACTTCAAGGGGACTTTAGTCACCTGCCCAAACCCACTCCAGCTCTGGCTAACTCCTGCTCTACCGCATCCCTGACATGTGGTTAGTTATCCAGCCTCCAACTGTACACTTTTGGTGACAAGTCACTTAGTTCCTAACCAGTTCATTTTGTATCGCTCACATCTGGCACAAAGCACACATTTGATAAATTCAGAAATTAAGGAGAGCTTTAAGTGTAAAACGTTCAAGTCTTATACAGAACCAAAACAAGTTCCCGTAAATTTCCCCTACTCGAAGAATTATAGAACATTAAGAGCTAGAAAATACTTCAGAGATCTTGTGGTCTACTCTTCTCATTTTATTGAAGAGAATACCAAGAGAAGGAGATGAAGTCTTATATAAATTGCAAGCTATGTGAATCAACCAACTAGCACATAGAACTTCCAAGATGAAGACTTACCGCTTAGGTTTGAAGACAACTTTCTGTCCTCCTTCAAGTATGAGTAAGGCTTTCAGTTGTGTCCCTTTATAACCCACATCAGCTTTAATGATTTTCTTGGTGGCCATGGCATGCATGATTGCCCCCAGCTCTGGTGTCTCTTCTGGGTACACTTCCCGGGGAACCACCCACTGGGCTGCAATCTCCCAGGGAGACTGCAAGGTGTGGTCCAGCTTGGGCACCAGCTCCACCCGCAAGCCAGCCATCATTCTGTGAAAAGCCCTCTGGTCCTCTCGGTTTGCAGCTGATGTGTCTAGGTTGTCAATCAGGAAAACTTTGGTGAAGATAAAGATGACAAGAAGAATTGCTAACAGCACGACTCGCTGCTTTAGCTTCATGTTGACCTCTTCTCCTTCTCTCCTGACTCACTCTCTCACTTATCAAGGAGAGCAGGCGGTGATTCAGGTCAGCAAGGAGAGTCCATGATCATGCACACTGGTCCATTTCTTCACTGGAGCGCCTCCCACAATTCCTGCAAGCCCAAGTACAAAGCAAAATTCAGTCAGAGATTCTGCCCCTTCCACCCCTGAATCTTTCACAAGCCTCCAACATATTACTCATTGTTTTACCCTCGCTAATCCCATGGTTGAGAGGACCCAATAGTTTAAAACAAACTAGTGTGGGGAAGGGCTTCATAGGTAAGAACCAAGTACGATAAAATTTTTAAAGCAAATTCTCATTTTAATAGGGTGCAGAGTCAGCTAGGATCCACGGGACTGCCTACAAATCCCAGAACACCAACACAGTGAGAAAAAGCACAACGAAAGCGACATGAAGAGATGCCTAACTCCTTCACTTTCATTTTTACCTTTCAAAATCCATAAAGGACTTTTGAACAAACCACCAGTATTAGGAAACTTTCCAGTTCTTATCTTCTCTAAATGTATGTTTTATGACACGTTGTAAGTCAGGAACTCCTAAAAACGCCACAGAGGATCCAGAGGAGAATACTAACTCCTCCGAATCCAAATCCCCAGCCACCCTGGAAGTGTCCTGTCTGTTGCTCACATATTTAAATACAACACCCAGACGTGTAGCTCTACTTCATCAGTCTTCCACTAATTATTTTTCAAAATTAAAATCCCTGTAAATTAGGGGTAATCAAATCTGGATAAATTAAGCAGAGCAAAAACATATCCCTATCCCAACTAGCTATTAGTAGAACACGACCAGAAAACGAAAGAAACCTGGTGCTACAGCAACACTATGGAGTCTGGACTGGTCGGGCAGAGGACAAAGGGACTGATGCCACAGATATCAAGCAGCACCTGCTTCCGGTGTGGAGCAGACCACACTCTGGTCAGGTCCCAAGCTCACAGACTCCAAACACTAGATTTCTGCAAGGGTGTCAAGAACACACAGTTCAGTCTCATTTGCATGCTGACAGGTGGCTTTCCGCTCCGCGCACGAGCCTGCTGTGCTGTATGCCTATGGACGGCACAGCCCTGGGCTGACACAAAGGGGACAGGAAGGTAACAGGGAGCGGCTTGACTCCAATTCCTTTAACAACTCAGACCATTAAAGACATAATGCCAGTACAAACGACAGGGCAGACTCCCACCCCAACTGGAGACCCCGTTCGTTTGCAGGAAGAGGCGGAAGGTGAGAGTTGAAGTCAAATTCTAACGGTCGCCAGCCACCTGTTTTGTGTCATCCTCATCTCCCGGGAAGTACGTTAACACTTCTGGCTGAAGCAACGGTAATTCAAGTGCATCCAGAACCCAACTGTGAGGGTAGCGAGTTTGGTGTGAAACTCAGCACAAGGGTTCTGTGGGATTACAGGCACGAGCAGTGCGAGGAGAGCGGATTTCCGAGGTTTCTGCTCGTCCCAGCACGACTTCAACCACACAGCTCCTCCAACGATCTGTTCCATGGGACACATCGTAGCCACGGTGACAGAAGGTTAACGTGGAAATCTCGCTCTGCCAGGGGTCCCTTTCTCAGCTCCTCCGGCTGCAGCAAGCGACAGGCCTGGGACACTTCTGGTGCAGAGGGGGAAGCAGGGTGGGCGGCCTTCCTCCTCCTAGAACGCATTCTTCAGGACTCAAGTCTGGTTAACCCCTAAACTTCTGATGATGCTGCTCATTTCATTTAGATAAATTCCTCCCTCATGTTATAAAACATTTCATATCTAAACACTCACCATAAACGCTAGGGAGATTGAGGTTTTGTTTTGTTTTAATTACCAATGCAATAGGAAATTCCAGCAACTCCAAAATTCAGACACAACAAACTGATTCCGTAGTCTTTGTGTACTTTTAAGTTCCGAAACCTCGCTACCTTTTGAATAGGTCCCTTCCACAATTCAGGGCTGCAAACAACGCATCCACTCAACTAGGACAGGAGTTTATATGATGTGAACTAAAGAGTTCAGCTGTTAAGATTATTTCACTATTCACCTCTGCAGCTTAGGAGTGAACACAGGTTGCGAGAGGCTAAAGGAGGTTTCGTTTGCAATTAGTCACCACATCCTGGTAGAACAAGGAAGAGCAATTTGGCATGGTTCTCTACAACTGCCCTTCATTCCCACAGCCACCACCTTGATTTAGTGCTCAGGCCCTTCTACTGAATCACTGAAAGAACCGCCTTCTGGGCCTCCAGGTTCTCCGATGCGGACCAGATGAGGCGCCACACTCACTGTTCTGATCATACGCCACTTCTGCTTTCTACAGATTCCTTAGCGAGGTGGGAAAGCCCTACCCTAAATGGCTTCAGCCAGTCTGCTTCGCCAGGGATCCCTCTTCTCAGCTTCAACCCAAACGGACCACAACCATGCTCTGCCCTCCCCGCCAGGTGTGGGGCTGACCTCTGCCCTTGTCATTCCTCACCCTGGGACTTCCTCAAAATTCTTGCTCCTACCCTTTTTTCCCATCTACTCCTGTTTAAAGCCTAATCTATTTTTCGAGGGCCATCTCCAAAGCCATTTTTGGTCCCTCTCCACACCCTAGAGTAATCTTTCTCCTTTAGACCAGCACTTAACTACATTCTGCCTTGTTCAGTATCTTCTTGTAGTTTTCAATTGCCCTCTCAGAAACTTGGCTCCTTGGTGACCTCAACTGTCTTCACGATCCCTATAGTACCTAGCATAGCAAGGGGAGATGCTTTATTCACCTGAACTGAACAAACCACTACAAATATCTTGGGACTCTGATGTTTACTTCCTTCGATACACGGGATCACGAGTGTGTGGCACCTTCAAGCTGGCACTCCTTTATCAGCTTTCTTCTTTTGTTTGGCAAATCTATTTCTCTACTGACGCTCTAACTACTCGGTTTAGTTCAGAGTATAGTTTCTTTCTTTTTTTTAACATTTTTATTTATTTGATAGAGAGAATGAGAGCCAGAGAGCACAAGTAGGGGGAATGGCAGAGGGAGGAGAAGCAGGCTCCCTGCTGAGCAAGGAGCCTGATGTGGAGCCAATGTGGGGCTTGATCCCAGAACCCTGAGTTCATGACCTGAGGTGAAAGGCAGACACTTGGGGCGCCTGGGTGGCCCAGT